CTATTTTTCCTATACACCGTCCAGTCACCAAAGACCCGTCCTTTCTTCACTGTACTATTTAGATCATGTCGATCTTCTACGACGCAATAGTAGGCTTTCTTTTTTCTTTCTAGCGTAACTCTTATATCAATGTATATCTTACATTCCCACTGAACCATTAAACCAATAGCTGACAGTTTCCACGTTGCGCCCGCCTGCCTTATGAGTAATTTGGGTTAGCTCCCAAGTAATAGATAACGATCCAGGTGTTATAAGAATTATGGTTGATAATATATAAACAATACAAACTATTACTTATCTTATACTGGTGAAACCCCACGAGTTATGAAATATTGCTCCCCATTGAATAAGGTTAAGACTCTTAGTACTGTATTGATATGCATTTTGGCTCACTCTGTTTGTCACCACAATATGTTGGTGGCGCCATGCTGATAAAGGAGTGCATGTCGATGACTTGATAATCCCTAGGCCAGTTATCGTAAATCCAATTCACTTATGTACAACAAGGATCCCGCTATGTCTGAATTGGTTTTAAAAGGTTGTGGCGTTCCCGTGATTCAAAATTTGAGGGAAATGATTAAGGAGCTCTATTCTTTGATGCTAGACTCAAGTGTATCGTCTACATACCAACCACCATCAATCTTACATGTTTATGTGGTTATTTTATATGTTTATAAAGTCTCAAACCTTATTTCTTGATCCCCTAAATATCTTTCATTATATTTTACACACGTATAATTCCTAGCGAACAGTTTTTAGGAATATTTATATTAATAAAAACATTATTTAAGGACACTCTCCTAGTTGAAGTGAAAATTAATGAATTTTTAACCATTATCAAAAATAATAATTTGAGGAATAAAAAGTTCACTCTAGAATATTATATTAGAAATTTTAAATAGTCCTAACTGAAAAATGCTCGATCAAGATTTATACTCTTCTTAGTTTACTCTTAAAATCGCGAAACCAAATTTGTGTGAAATTTATAATAGTTGGCATATCGTCAATTGGTAATCTAAATAAGAGCTGAGGGGTAGTATATTAAAAAAAATATTGTTTAAGTTTCAACTTATTCCGTAACGTAAAAGATACCCTACATGATATATTAGACTTAGTTGACTTATATGATATTATGACACACAAAAAATAAAGTCTTTACTCCAAAAAAATTCTAAAACATAGCCTCAAGTCTATTATCTCTTAAGGTACACGTCCAGTATAGAGGAAGTGATTTTTATATTAGTTTACACACATATATTTTGGAACAGTTACTAACTACGTATATGGCCTTATTGTTGCAGTGAAATATGGAAAAGTTGTGTTACACACATGCATGTTCTGGGCTAATCTGTTGCACACTAGTCCCAGTGTTGATTCTTTATTTTTTTTTTTCAATCCTATGATACGGGACTATTAAAAATGGGGTAGTATCTAGATATGATAATAATTTTTTTTAAATATAAAAAATTAATTAAACAGTAATTTTAATCAATTAATCTTTTTTTTTGCTACTATTAAGGTAGGTTAAATTATTTCTTAATTGTTTGAAAGGTCAAAAAACGTGATTTATTATTTAACAAAACAGAGGCAGTCATAATGTTATTAAGTCGGGTTGTATACTTCATCTCTTATATAGAGAACCGATGGTTAAATTTGTTTTAGATTTTGGTCCACTCTTAAATGGCCAACACACTCCAATAGTGGCGGGAAGTCGGCAACGATACAGAAACAGACAAAAAAAGGAAGAAACACAATAAAAAATTATTGAAAAGAAAATGTGATTATGTGTTTAAAAAGCTGTAATTGGTCAATTTTTAATATATAAAAAGATCAACGACCATCGGACCCACAAACTCAACATTTAATGACTTTGTCGAGGAATAAACATCATACTATGATTTACTCTATTTTAGCATGTTATAGGCATTGATGTAAGGAAGCCATGGATAGGTAAGGGGAACATAGAAATTATATAATATGATTCAATATTATTTTATTATTTCATAAATGTGAGTAGAATTAGATATGTTTGAGAACAAGATATATGGAAATAAAAATATAGAATATTCATCAAATACGAAAGTAATAAGGTGAGCTTAGGAACCTCTCAACAGCGAGAATGAAAATACCAAACCTGAAACTATTTACCAAATAAAAGGAAGGGTAAATTATAAAATTTCTATTATTATTAATACTTTTTTTAGTCTTATGAGATAAAAACTTTAATATTCTTAACTAATTTTCAATATTACAACCAAACATTGAAAAATAAATTATTTGAAAAATATTTTTCGACAAGTTATTTTAAAAAAAACATTAATGACTAAAAAATACAAATTTGCAACCTGTCAAAATTTGAATTGTCAAGTGTGTTACTAAGTACCACTTCATTAACGCTCTCCCTTTTTCTCTTGGATCTATTTGAATGCTTTGGCCTTTGAGTGGAACCAAATCACAAGTAGAAAAAGCAATATTACTGTATAAAATAATAATAATAATACTGACTGAGACCAAGAACTGAATTTTATTAAAGTTGATAGCTTTGCTTCTTTATATTATTTATTTAAAATGGTAATATCGAAAATGTTTATCCATAAAATCTATACACATAGACACTATTTGTATTTTGTGATCAAAATTTATAATATTTCTATTATGGATCAGATGTAAAAATATTATTTAATTGTCAAATTGCTAAGATTTATAAATCAAAAGTAACCTAAAAATCTTGAATTTTCTTTTTTCTTTTTTTTTTTTAAAAAAAGAAGCAAGCCTTCTTATTTTTCTTTTTTCCCCCTAAAAATTTGTCAATAAGTCCCATTAATATATAATGCTGCTTGCAAAAGAGTAAGTATAGTGGAAACGTAAATTCAGCAAAAAAAGATGACTTTCTGTTGGTGGGTCCTCATTCTATTGATACAGGCAACCCTGAAAATAAGAGACAAACAGGATTAAATTAAAATTTTTTAAGGTTTAATTTTAAAGACACAGAGGATTATATATTAGTATTAGTATTGTATTACAATCACACGCACAAAATAATTGGGTCATTAAAGGAATTACGAACTTGTCTTCTTATGAAACTGTGGAGACAATGCTCAGACAATTTCTATTTTCTATCACCTCATTACAAGCTGTACTATTAGTCTTGTCTCAATAGTAGTCTTTTTTTTTTTTAATTTATTAATTTATTAATTCTGAACCATTAAAGTTTTGGGAGATTACAGTAATAGATAATATTTAATTTTTGATTAATATTAAAATTATTTTATGTAACAGTGATGATTGTGCTGGAAAAGAGCCTATACTGTTTGTTTGTATGTGGACCCATGTGGCCATGTGTAGGACTGACATTTCATAGGCATATCTAATCAATCACTATTCAACAGTCCTCATCTGAATGGTGTTAAATTGCGACAAATGTAGGTAGGTTATTGAGCTCAGTGTCAAAACCAACATTACATTTTTTTTTAGTAAATAACTATTTAATCCCTAATACTTTCTTTTTCGATGTTTTAAAATATAACTCATTTAAAATTTTTCATAAAAATTAAAAAAATCTTAAATTATAATAAAATAAAAGTTAATATCGATCAAATTATTTTTTATCTTAAAATGAAACAATTTGTGAAAATAGTGATTGTATCTAATAAACAAGGGTAATATTAAAAAAATATAATTTATTATTCCTTAAAATACTCAAAATGACTTATATTATGAGACAAAATAATTTTCCAAAATCAACTTATATTTTAGGACGGATGGAGTATTTAATTATAATCATAATTCTAACTACTTGCCTTTTTCATTTAATACAACATCATTCTGCTAATTTTGACACTTATCCAGTTTTTTTTTTTTTTCATCATAACGAAGGTAGTAATCTAGATATGAATATTAATTTTTTTTAAATATAAAAAAATTAATTAAACAGTAATTTAATCAATTATCTTTATTTTTTTCTACTATTGAAGTAGTTAAATTATTTTCTTAATTTTTGAAAGGTCAAAAAATGATTATATTAACAAAACAGAGGCAGTATAATGTTATTAAGTCGTTACTCATTTAATGGGATTAAATTTTTTTGATTCATATAAGGACCACTCATGGACCAAATCAACAAAAAAAAAAAAATTATTGAAAAGAAAATATTTTTAACTATTCAATAAAAAAAAGATAAAATGACAACAATTCTTCAAAAATTTTTTATTTAGTTCATGAGTAAGCCATAAACCAAATATAATATTTTATTTAATGGTAAAATTTGACAGAAGAATAAATAATTCAATAGAGCTAAATCTCAAAAATAATAACAATATTTACCAAATAAAAGGATAAAATTATAATTATGATTGAATGCAAGGAAATTACTCTTTTTTTTTTTTTTTGGTTTAATTTGTGCCATCGGAGTGCTTCTGCTATTCAGAGTTTTCTTGGAGCTTCTGGCTATGTGAAATTAGTCTCAATTATTTTCAGGCCATACAAATCCCCCTCCCTATTAAAAAATAAAATAAAATAAAATAAAAATCACGGGACCATTAATGAATGAACAATTTCTATTCTAAACAATAAAAGAAGGATCAACCTGGGCAACTAATTCCTTTGGAGCAAGTGAAACATTGTCGTAAAAGGAGCTAATCTTGCTGTGATTTCAAAGCGACAACACTTGATAATATTGAAAACATGCAAGCATTCATGAATCGTTGCATAGAGTTTCTCTGGAATCTGTACCCTCACTAATGATTTTTAATTTATAGCTGTATAGATGCAAATGCCATGTCTTAATTAATTAAATTTCTCCAACTTAATTGGGAAGTGAAACCGACATGGCTGGGTCTCTCCCAAAACACTAAATCTCCAATTTATGATCTGGTTAAGGCTCCCATGACCTCTGAGCCTAACGACCAACTTGGGTATCAATATAAAATGAACGGCTAGCAAGCAAACGTGAGTAAGATCAGTAATTAGCAGCAATGTGGAGCTCAGATATTAGAATAAAAATGCGTGATGAATGTGTCATGGATTTAACAGAAATGGCAGAAGAGGTAATTTTGTTAATCCTAATTACGAATCAATTTTAGAACATATGTGTATGTCAGTGCTTGTGTTTAATTAATTATTGCTATACTTGTTTTGCCTTTTTCCTCTTTATTAATAGGGTCTGTTGGACACTCTTATTGGAAGGCAAGATGAAATAGAGAGAGTAATGCAAATACTTTGCAAAACAAGAAAAAACAACCCTTGTCTTATCGGTGTTCCTGGTGTCGGAAAGACTGTTATAGTTAGAGGGCTTGCTAATCAGATAGCTACCTCCATTGTTCCTCCAGAACTTGTGGAAAAAAGGGTATGTTCTATTTGGACTCATATCTTTATGCAGTGTACACTATATTTCTGAAATGACTTAAGAGCATGTTTGGAATCTGATTCTAATTTTTATATATTTAAGAATGATTCTTGATATAATCAATAAAGTTGATCTAAGTTAATTTTTTTGAAGCTAATGAAATTATTTGAATTTATATGTTTTTTTCTAGGTGAACTAAACATGTTTAATAATAATGATTAGTTGTGAATCAATTACGTTGATGCTACTAAAATGATATATTGTTTGAAACTCAATCAGGTGCTTGCACTAGACTTGAGACAAATGATTGTTGGAACTTCAAATACAGATGAATTTGAGAGAACGCTAATAGAAGCAGTGGATGGATGTGGGAAAGCTAGAAATATAGTTCTTTTCATTTCTGAATTGCATACCCTTGTAGCAGCTGGTGCAGGCAGTAAAGCCGGAGATGGAGCTAATATATTGAAAGAAGCTATTGAAAGGGGGGGACTCCAGGTATAATTAAATTTACACATAAATGGCATTTCCAAATAGTTCTTGTCATTGCTCATTATTTGTTTGTTTAAGATGTGCAGTGTATAGTTGAAACTACACCGCAGGAATACAGAGAGTACATAGAGAAAGATAGATCATTCAAACGATGTTTTCAAAATGTGCATATTTATTTCTGAGCCTTCAATTGAGGAGGCTATTGAAATACTAAAAGCGATGTGCCCTAAACATGAAGCTCATCATAAAGTTACATATGAAACCGATGCTTTAGTTGCTGCTGTTCGTTTATCAAAGAAGTACACAAGGTCAGATTCTCTTTAGCCTTTTCTGTTGATGAAGTCATTTTTTTTGGAGTTGTTCAAATCGTAGGTTCGGACTTTGAACAATTCCAATGTTAAATTCTTGATTTCCAATATTCCTTGAGATTTATTTTTGTAATTATCATTTTAAATGATTTAATTTCAGGGACCGTTTTCTTCCTGATAGCGCAATTGACTTGATTGACGAAGCAGGCGCTAGATTTCAACTGCAAAAATTGAAGTTGCCACTTTCTGAACCTGTAATAACTGTGAAGGACATAAAGCATGTGATCTCAATGGGGACAGGAATTGCAGTGGAGGTCCTGAACATGAACTGAGGGTCAAGATGTTGACTTTAAGGATACTATTATTATATTGACTTGTATTAAATTTATTTTTGAAAATGTGAATTTGCTAGGAGCAGACTAACTGAAGAAGAATTTGGGATCTGAATTTTTGAATAGTACTGATGAAGTGATTATGTACAAACTCAAAAAATTTTGTTATTTTGGTTAAAGAATCACATTAAAGGTTATTGTTTGGCTGTTATTCTAATTAGTTAAAACTATGATTTTAAATTAATTTTTTCATGCCTTTTTCATAAATAAATTATTAATTAATCTCTGTATTTAACAAGGAAAAGCAAAATGTTATAACAGTGTAATAGAGGAAGAAAAGGACAAACATATATATTTCTTAAAATGCAGGGAAAAGAACATGTATCTTGACAAAATGCAAGGGTAAAATAATAATAATCTTCCCTTCTAGTTATGGTGCTGGACCTTGTCCGGCTTGATAGAAGGAATTTTGAATGAAGCTGAAGAGAGGATTTCTTTTATATGGATGTTCATATTTTGAAGATTGAGGAATATTAATTATAATGATTTTGTGTTTCTTAAACGAAGCTTCAATAACGCAATAGCCAGTATTTTTTTTTAAAATATTAATTTGATGCCAAGATAAATATTTTAAGTTATACCTGAATTAGTAGAGTAATTATTTTGCATTGCCAATAATGAACTTTCTTTGCTAATTTGATGTATAGTTTCTTGCTGATCGTAAGTTATTGATATAACGGTCATATTTCCATGCTTAATTATTGTTGTTGATCGTCGAGTGTTAAGATTTCTTATAAGATTTATTTGAATGGTGATATAGGATGACATATATCTCTTTTTTTTTTTTTAATAAGAAATTTCAAATTCAAATCCTGAGAACAAGGTCTCTTTATACATTAGGAAGGGAATGCTTTGCTCTCATTATAGGCTTATTTTGAGTAAATCTGAATTAGTTGAGCCAATGAGTGTTAGCTCACTGTTAGTTAAAAACTGAAAAACAAAAAAAAAATCTTATACATATGCTAATTTCTTTTTATATTGAATAATGAAATTTTAATATTTTTTTTTTCACATAATTACTGTAAGTTATATGATGCCATTTATCTGTTAGCCAATTAACTGTATTGAAATATTTGATTTGAATTAAATTTATTTAAAAAAATTTAACAATTGAGCGGTTTTATATTTTCTTCGTGATAACATTTTTTGTATTAATAAAAATTTATCTAGTATTATGAAGCAACAAAAGAACAATGTATTCTCAAAGAAAGAAAGAGGAAGAAAATGTGAACATAATTGCATAAACATACTTACCTATCATCCGCGGATAAAAACGGCTCGAAAAATGTGCCGTTTTGTGGAAAACAGACAATAACCGATGTTCTCTTTCACACAGAACGACAAGGGAAAGAGCAGTCTAACAAGTAGATCTACTCCCTCGTAAAAAATGATATAATAACATCTCCTCCAACAAGGGCAAAAAGAATTACAAAAGAGTACAACAGATAGATAGATAGATCTCGTACCGTTTCTACTGGAGCCCCACTTTACATAATCAAATCTACTTGCTCTGTGTTCTCCACAAACCCTAACTAAGCTAATTTAGCACATAAACAATTTGGATTTTACAATGCACTTTCAAATTCTAAATTCTACCTACTTCAAATCCAACCCATTTTTGTATTGAAATTCAATTCTTTGCCTTTCCTTAAATGGGCACAGCACAGTCCGTACGAGTGCCTGAAGAAGACGAAGAAGAGAGTGAGGAAGAAGACGAAGAAGAAGACGAAGACGACGATCATGGTGAAGGTGCTACCAGAGAAATCGATGGTAACAATTTGGTCAAGAAAGTCCTCGAACAAGAGCCCGAAATGCTACCATGTCATGCATCCGCATCGCCGCTTTCTCCTCAGCTTTCTTCTCTAGGTACCCCGCGTTTGGGTCCGTCCATCAAGGTTTGGGACCCTTATAATGTATTGGCTCCGCCTCCTCCTCTTCCTCCTCCTCCTCCGTTTTTCTCGCGGAGTTTCTCGTCGTCCAGTGTGAGTGTTGATGACGATCGTACTGTTACGGAGGTTTTTTTGATTAATCACGGAGAGTGCGACCTTAATTTGAGGCCGGATTTGGTTGGTGGGAGGTGCCACGCGGCTGCGTTGACGCCGAATGGGAAACGGCAGGCGAGGGCTTTAGCTGTGTTCTTGAACTCGCAAGGAGTGAGATTCAATGCGGTTTATTCCTCGCCTTTGGATCGTGCAAGATCAATGGCGGTCTCTGTTTGTCAGGTAACTTTGAATTGGCGTTTAGTTAATTGTAATTGCCCCTAAAGTATAAAATTCAATAATTCCGGTTGAATAGCTATCTATAACTTTGAATTGACGTTTGATTTCAGTGATTGAAATCTTTACATATTTACTACATATGTAGTCATATTGCTCTCTTTAATCTTAAAAGTGAGGCATTTAACTTAAGATATATAGCTTTAGATGGAAAGTTTGCACCTTTATTTAGTTTGATGATATATGGGGAAGAAAGTAACGCTTTGTTGTAAATCCTAATGCTTCTTGCAAATAGGAAAAGTTGAACTTGCTAAAATTAGATTAATTTTCTTAATATTTGGATTAGGTTTGGTGCCCCTACTGCCATTATAGAACCAATCTCATTGGCATTACTGATAAACTCTCGCTTTTTATCACATGGCATGTATTAATTAAAACAACTAATAACGATATCTTCTTTCCTTATTTCGTCAACTCTACAGTGGTGCTCTCCATCTATATATTTTGTCCAATGAAGAATCAAAACTACTTCTATAAATGCATGGAAAGTTTGTAATGAAGGCTGTCTACTAATTGAAGTTAATGTTTGTATTGTTAATTTGTTATTTAATTCAGAACCTATATTTAAGTCCTAACCTTCGGCTAGTACCAACTAATTACTTTTCCTTCTATATTGTGATTTGCCTATCAAATTTCTTTTCTAGATTCTTTTATTCAATTATGTTCACTGGTTTACCATAGATGCTGCAACTTTCTAACGAAATATGCTGGCATGCTTATGAATTCAAGATAGGGTTATTGGGGCAGGACAAAGAATAAGAAATGTAACTATTGGTAATTATAAGTGGAAGTTAAGTATACTCGTGTACATAGCAAGGATGCCAAAGAACTTATTCTTCACTATCCATATTCTGCAGTTGAAACTCCTCTATTGCTGTATGATCATTTTGCCATTCTGGCATTCTGTTTGAGGAATGATCTAGAGACCATTTTGATAGCAATTCTTCTTTGATACTGAGATGCTTGGGAGGCATGTACCCTATGGTGGAAATGAAATGATTGTTTGCTAGACAGGAGGGCAAGATTTGTGGGAATGTCATCGAAATATCAAAAATATCAAATGAAGTAGGAAGAGAGGTAGCATGGCAGTTGAAGATACTGCAAATATCAAAGGAGCTTACGAGGAGTTTGAGGAAGGTGGTGGTAAGAGGAGGAGAATGGTAGTCTATGATTTATTGATAGATAAGTCCCATTGGTAAGTGAACTCTAAGGACTATTCAAGTTGCTGACTCCAAATGGTTGACTATTGCAACATCTATGAAGACTTCAAGTGATTGGGAGTTAAGGCTAGTCATATGTGATGAAATTGCTATGATTTTACATATGATATGGCCATGATGGATTTCAGTTTCTGATTGTTGTTAGTTGTTTGTGATTTTCGATGTTATTTATTTATCATCTCATGATAAATCTAGGAGCTTTGATATTATTAGGAATACCCTATATGCATCTTTACTTGCATTATTCAATTGAACAAATTGTCTACATATAAAATCATGCAGGAAATGAATTTTGCAGAGGAACAAATACAATCGTCAGATGCTCTTGTAGAGATGAGTCTGGGGCACTGGGAGGGGTGCCCCTGTTCAGAAATCTATACATCTGAAGTTCTGAACTTGATTGAAAGTTTGCAGCCTGATTTTTGTGCACCGTCTGGAGAATCACTTAGGCAAGTGGAATTTAGGATGGTTCAATTCTTAAATGGGACAGTCCTCGGACTGCCCGAAAAGTTGAGAACAGATTTCTCCTTGCACCATCAAAATGAGAGCCAATTTTCTCATGACAGAGATCCACCTGCTCTACTTTCACAACAATGGGATATGCTTCATAGGCATCGACCTGGGCTTTCAAGGAAGAAATCTGGTAAGAGCAGACTACAGTATGTGACTACCACCGGCAATCACGAGGGTGAGGATGAGATATCTTCCAGGGAAACCAACCATCAAAATTCACTCCATAATTTAAGTGTTAGGAGCTTATCTTCCATTTCTTCATGTATTGGCGTTTTCAGTCATTCAATTCCTATTAAGTGTCTCCTTACAGGCCTCCTGGGTTGCAGCCCAGTAATGTCACATAAGATTTGCATAGAAGATTCTTCAGTGACAATATTGCAGCATTCTTGGAAAACTGGTTGGCAGATAAAACGTTTGAATGATACTGCACATCTCAGGCTGCTTTAACCAGAGCATTTTGAATGAAAGCCTTACCTGGAGTCGCTGACGGAATGATGAGCTGTTAATTACTGGGCCAATCCAGTTTTGGACGATACAGCAACTTGTGATTTCACATGAATCGTTAATTATACAACCTGTTGTATTTGTTTTGAAATATTTATTTTTACAGACTCACTACCTTCAAAGAAAAGGAAGATTCAGTTTGGGAGTTGGATATTTGTATTGGGTGATTCTTTTGATTTGTAGCATTTACATTACAAGTATTGTTATTGTAGAGTGAAAGATAATGTTTTTTTTTTTTCATGTAATAGGAAGAAAATAAGTTATTTTAGACGGAAGAAATTTTATGTTGTAATTTTCCTGTTTCATTACCATTTGAACCCAACAACCACTGAGATATGTCTGTTAAATCATTTATGATTATAACAAGACAATTTCAATTTCTGAATTTGCAGAAGTCTATCTTGAAGTGTACTTTTAATTTTTCAGTATCAACCTAGTTTATTTTTCTAAATTTTAGCTAAAAATGAAGCAGAATGGAGACAAGTTTTATATAGCAGACCCTGTTTAGGACCCATTTCGGTCCTAAACTAAACTCTTTTAATCCCTTTTTTGCGGGTCTGTTGCGGTACGGTTTCAATTCAAACCGACCGGTAGCCATGCAGATAACGATGCCATAAGGGAAAAACAGCTCAAAAGTTTAAAACATTTTGGGCATCTTTACTTGGGACTTTACCCTTTCTTTTCTTTCTTATTTCCCTCTTTTCCTTTGTTGATGATTGGCGAAATTGATAGGGAGCTTATTTATTTAGAAACTCAGATTTTTCAAATAACTTAATTATTTTGATAGCATTTTGGTCTTTCCTAAGATGATGAATGATGAATGATGATGTGCTACTTTTTATATATTCAAATTTCTTTTGATCTTTCTTTCATTAAACTTTTACACTTGCCAAGAGCTTAAATGCTCAAAAGGAAAGGTGTTGGTTAAAAGTTACATCACTATTGGCATTTATTTATAAATTAGGTAATCACATGGACATGGGGGTAAAGAGCACATGCATGACAATGTCAATGACAGATTCATTTGGATCCTTTTCCCCTACTGCAAATACAATCCAAACTTAGCATGTGAAGTGACCATACCTTTGTTTTATATTATACCCTCAATTTCCATTCATTATATTAAAATTTATTTTTCTTTCAATTAAATTAAAATAAAATTATTTTTTCTAAATTAAAAAAGAAAAAAAATCATTGACAAATATAGTTGGTCAACTTACTCTAGTGAGGTAAAATTCTAAAAAAACTTTATGTATAACGCGGATATAATCTGTTGAGAATATTTTAGACCGTAATTGTTTCGGCCATTTAGCATGACTCAATAATTATTTTATAATTTAATTTTTAATATGAACACTACAAATATACAGTAATTATGACAATCTAATTGGTACTCACAAGCACATAGAAAAGAATCTTACTAATGACATGATTGACCCTTAAAATAAAATACAAACAACACAAGACAAAAATCAAAAGGCAACAAAATAATTCATATAAATAAGGCCATAAAGGCAAAAGCCAAGCAGAATTAAATCTACCGCTATCTATCCCGTGATATCATGCAACTAATATTTACACACACATATATTTATAATCTTGCTTTGCAGAATATTTTAGAACCGTAATTGTTCGGCCTTTAGCATGACTCAATAATTAATTTTTTTATAATTTAATGTTTTAATATGACACACTACAAATATACCCAGTAATTATGAAATCTAATTTGAGTACTTCAACCAAGCACATAGAAAAAAGAGATCTTCACTAATGACACTAGAAGTTGACCCTTAAAATAAAAATACAACACAACACAAGACAAAAAATCAAAAGCAACAAAAATAATTCATATAAAAAATTAAGCCATAAGGCAAAAGCCAAGCAGAATTAAATCTAACCGCCTATCTATCCGTACATCATGCAACTAATATTTACACACACATAAATATATATATGATATATATATATATTATATTACATTTAAATATTATAATTTTTCTTCTTTTTAACCTTTTTTCTCAATCTCTTCAAAACCCTGAAAAAATATATCTGGGGAAAGAATATATTTCTCTTAACCTTCTTCAATCTCTCAAACCCTGAAAAATATATCTGGAAAGAAATTCACTTCCAAAATGCATTTTATGGCTTCCTTCAAAATTTCCTCCACTTCTCTATCAATTTTTATTATTATTCTCTTCTCTAATGCGCTTTCCCTTGCCAGTGAGCCTGTAATTACAGCTTCTCCTGCTGTTTTACCATATGTTACTGCCCCTAATATGTCCTCATTCTTCCCTTCTCCTACCGAAGAGTGGCCTCTGAGTTCTGCAGATCCTCCGGAAGGATTAGCTCCGGTGCCGAGCTCCGGTGAGTTTTTAGGGAAGAATTCGTCAAATTCAGTAAAGCTCAATGGTTATGTTGCAGTATTTTGTTTTGGAATTTCTGTTATATTTGTAGTTAGAATAGTTTATTTTGTTTAAGAAATTTTGAATTGAAGTATAGAATTATTTGTGTGAGAGAGATCATATTGTATGAATTCATTTGTGATATGATTATTATATATGTATTGTTAGTTTGATTAGCCTTGACATTAATGAAAGAAAAGCTATTGTTCATGGATGATGGATCTAGGCTGTAGATACTGTGGTATAAAACCTGATATTTTTAATAACCATTTCGACCTTCGGTTTCATTCATGATTATAATATTCATTCTTTTTTACATTTAGTTTCTTTTTTCATTTTTTTCTTTTTTTTTAGTATCGAATGGATTCGCATCTGAATTTATTATCAGATTGTATATATACTTAGCACCGGGCTATGTCTTTGTGTGTTTAAACTATTTAATTTTTTGTGCAAAAAGTATCATTTTTATTATTAAGAAAAAAACTAAACAGTGCTTCATCTTACTAAAGTCGGTCAAATTATTTATACGGTGACTAAAGTAATTAATTTTTTTAAATTATAATAAAATTTTCATTAATTTGACAATATTACTTTTATCGCATTTTATTAATTGGATAAAAATGATTTTAGAAAATTGTATAAATTGTTAGTGTTTATATATATATATATATATATATTATATACCTATATGATAATATAGGTAAATTAAAAAAAATGATATATTTCAAAGCAATAAAATATTTATGGAGCATTATAAAACCCTATTTTAAAAAAGATTTATTATGTGTGAAAGTGGTAAAATTAAAAAAATTGATTCATATTTTCAAAGCAATAAATATTTATGGATAAAAAACTATTTTAAAAAGATTTATATTTGTGGAAAGAGGAGTAATTCAATAGTATAAATGATGAATCAAATAATAATATTATATTAAATATGAAGGACTAAATAATCAAATATCATTGTTTTTTTTAGTATAAATATCATTTTGATATTTAAAATGTTTGTTGGATGGAAAGACTAAATAGCAAATAGTTGTTAGATGAAATGACTCAATAATAAATATCACGGGTATTATATTATTTTTGGTTTAACAGGATGTGTAAGCTCAGTATAATCCTGCTGGCAACTGTCAGGTCTATAGAAGGATCCGCTCTTAGCAGAAACTTTTCCATTTTTTCCATTAACAAAGATTGAATTCTCGTCTTCTTGTTTAAGGGATGTGAGTTCTCTGCGCTCAAGATGAACTCCGTATAGAACAAATCTTATTTTTATTAGATAAATATGGATCCTATAATTAAAAAAAAAAAGTGTTTTAAGGGTCAAAACACAGTTATGTTAGAAGAAATCCATTCGCTAATTGTTAATCACGCGCAGAAGCATTCCCTCCAAAACCCAAACTAAACTACTTTGGGTTTTTAAAAGAAGATGAACTACTAATTCAATCAAAAGAATGAATGAAGATCCCAATTTCTAATACACTCCTGTTCAGAGTCCATAGCAAAGTCCATGAACACAATTATTCAACAACAGTCAACTCTAACCTCAAAACCTGGTTCGACAAATACTTCGAAAAGACCAATGTCTTCTCCTGGAACGAACTCATCGCCGAGTTGGCTCGCGGAGGCGACTCACTCGAGTCTCTTCGAGCTTTCTCGTCGATGCGAAAACTCAATCTCAAACCTAATCGCTTCACTTTCCCTTGCACGATTAAAGCATGCTCGGCTGTTCTTGATCTTCACTCGGGCAAACAGGCCCATCAACAGGCTCTGGTTTTTGGTTTCGAATCAGATTTCTTTGTGTCTTCAGCTTTGATTGATATGTACTCGAAATGTGGGCGTTTAAATGATGCAAAAATCCTGTTCGATGAAATTCCTCAGAGAAGCATTGTGTCATGGACCTCGATGATTACTGGGTACGTTCAAAACGGCAATGCCCATGAAGCGTTATTGCTTTTTAAGGAGTTCTTGATTGAAGAGAGTGAGAGAAACGATGAGGTTTTTATGGATTCAGTTGCTATGGTTTCTGTTTTATCGGCGTGTTCCCGTGTTCCGAGGGCGGGAGTGATTGAGGGAATTCATGGGTTTGTGGTGAAGAGAGGATTGGATAAAGACATAGGAGTTGAGAATACGTTGTTGGATGCATATGCAAAGTGTGGTGAGATGGCTTCGTCTAAAAATGTGTTCGATGGTATAATTAATAAGGATGCAGTTTCTTGGAATTCTATGATTGCTGTTTATGCCCAAAATGGTTTATCCAGTGAGGCTTTTCAAACTTTTCATGGGATGATAATGGATGGTGATGTCAAATACAACGCATTTACATTGTCTTCTTTGTTGCTAGCTTGTGCACATTCCGGGGCTCTGCGTATGGGGCAGTGCATACATGATCAGGTATTCTCTGCTCAATTTTCTTCCTCCTCCCCCATATTAATGGTTATTCATTCCATTAACCAATCTGTATATATTATGTTTGAATGTTATTCAAATATATTTGGATACAATCAGAGATATATTCTTAGTTTTGGATTTATTGATCTTTTGTAACAGGTAATAAGGCTGGGTTTTGATGATAATGTAATTGTGGGTACCTCTATCATAGACATGTATAGCAAATGTGGGCGAGTTGAAATGGCTAGGAAAGCATTTAATGGTATGCAGGTGAAGAATGTGAAATCGTGGACTGCGATGATAGCTGGCTATGGAATGCATGGCTGTGCAAGAGAAGCTTTGGAAGTTTTCTACATGATGATAAAGGTCGGGGTCAAACCAAATTACATTACTTTCATTTCAGTTCTAGCTGCTTGTAGCCATGCTGGTCTGTTAGATGAAGGCCGGTATTGGTTCAATGCAATGAAGCATCAATTTAATGTAGAACCTGGGGTTGAGCATTATGGTTGCATGGTTGATCTCCTTGGGCGTACTGGTCATCTCAATGAAGCTTATCATATGATAAAGGGGATGACAGCAAAGCCTGATTTCGTACTATGGGGTTCTCTTCTTGCAGCTTGTCGAATTCACAAAAATGTGGAGCTGGCAGAGATTTCTGCTGGAGAATTGTTTGAGCTAGACCCAAGTAATTGTGGATATTATATCTTACTTTCAAATATATATGCCGATGCTGGAAGATGGAAGGATGTTGAAAAGATGAGAGTCCTTGTGCAAGATCGTGGACTTGTTAAACCACCTGGATTCAGTTTGGTTGAACTTAAGGGCAGAGTGCATGTATTCTTGGTTGGAGATAAAGAGCATCCTGAATGTGAGAAGATCTACAGGTTCTTGGATGAACTATATGTGAAACTGCAACAAGCTGGGTATGTACCTAATATGGATTCAGTCCTTCGTGATGTTGACGAGGAAGAGAAAGAAATGACCCTGCGAGTTCACAGTGAGAAGTTGGCTGTTGCCTTTGGAGTCATCAATTCATTTCCTGGTTCAAGAATTCATATCATTAAAAATCTTAGGGTCTGTGGTGATTGTCATACTGTCATTAAGCTTATTTCCAAGATTGTTGATCGAGAAATTGTGGTAAGAGACTCAAAGCGATTTCATCACTTCAAGGATGGATTGTGTACTTGTGGAGATTATTGGTGACACATAAGAATAAGATTATAGCTATTTAAGACAATTTAATGGTTATCTTCGGCTGGATCAACATCAACAAACTTATAGCTAGGAATTGGGGAACTATAGATGTGCTGTCCAATTTCTGTTGAATGCAAGAAATACCTGTGATAATTCATCTGAAATACAAACTATTTTCGAAGGTCTACTCAAGGTTCATATATTTGCTTCAAAGATTAGCTGTGCCTCAATTGTTTTTCTGATTCAATGGTTACTGAAACTGCCGAAGATGATTTCTAAATACAAATGAAGTTCTGCTATAGAAATAACGAGATAAGTATGTGGTCTTTTTACTATTTACTCTTTTGATCAGAACACATCAGAAATTACTTAAGAGGACATCTGCTTCATAAAATCAACCCACAGCCGGTTTACACTTTTGATGTTAGAGACTGGAATTGTGTCAGCCATAGTGTTTGTCGAACCTGAAAAGGCAACAACTGAAAGTGTCTAATCATGAACATCCCAGTCGAAACCGCTTAACTGAAAACAGTCGTCTAAATTTTGATATCTGAAGTTGGTTACTCTTCCCTCCAACTTTTAAGCAACTAATAGAACTTTGCAGGGCCCTGTTCTCACCCTTTAGCTGTTCCAGCTGAAACCGGAGCTTATTAATGATCACTCTCTTTTCAATATTTCTCCTTGCCAACTCTATGAGCTGCTGTAGATTTTCCTCCATTAGTTTTGTAGCTTGATGCTTGAGTTCAGACCATGGATTCACCTGTTCATGAACCAACTGATAATCATCCATCGTAATATGGATATCTTCCTTGTCACACAGATCTATTGCTTTTTCATAACAAAGATTTTCTCTAATTTCAATTTTCATTTTCATTTTCTTGTTGTGTGGCTCAGTTGACATCAATTCTGCTATTAGCTTGTTCAGGTATTCAAAGTCAAAATTAGTGTTGTCACAATCTACATGAGGATTGCCGCGAATGGAATTGCATTCGACACAGGAATCAAAAAGATCAAATGGGGAATCATTCGAACTCCCTAAAAGTCTTCTCTTGGTGTCAGCATTAGAGGATGAAGAAGGTATGGTTCCTGAATCAGTTACATTATTGAATTTAAACCTTAAATGATCATATTTTTCTGCCAAAGAACAGTAAGAATCATTTAGCTCTTCCAGCATTAGAAAGAGATCCTGCCTCCGCTTGAAATAAATCTCATCTCTTACTGAAGAATTCTCATGTTCTTCCAGAAGGCTCATCGTTGCCCTCATTCTTCTGTTCGAGTCTGCATATATACAGAGAAAAAAAAAAAAAAGATTGTACAAAGTAAAGCATAAGGAATATGAAAGAGAACATGATAAAACTGTTCCATTTTTCTCTTTGATTACAGTTAGAGAAAAAAGAAAACTTCCTTGATCTAAATTCTAAGTTTTAAACTACATTATACTTTGAGATCATCAAGTGTCGATTATTTTTCCACATTCTCCTCTACCTTCCCTTCATCTTTCCGCGGCTAGTTTAATATATCGCATAAGCAAATAAAGAAAACACACAAAACTGACCTGATAGAGTTAGCTGAAGCCATTGAGATTGCTGGGCAATATCATGGTTCTTACCTCGAGCCAAAGAACAAGAAGATGAAGCTCCATGGTTCTCCATTACAGGATTCTTTTGTCAAGGTACAATTTTGCTTTCAGAGCAGAACAAAGTAAAACAAAATATAAACGTCAAGAATTTTGGAAGTCTAAAATGTAGGAGAATGCACAATCTTTGCCTGCCTTGTGTGTGTCTGTCTGTGAATATATATAGAGAGAGATTCATTATCACAACATTTGATTCCAACACGAATGCATCCTTTAATAAGGTGATATTACTCTTTCGATTTTCCTAACTTTCAAGAGAATGCTTTAGTGTCAAGGTTTGAATAAAAAAATAGTTAGTCCTTGTTTGGATTTTTATTTTTTATTTTATTATGGATTTCTTTGAAAATGGTATTGGCTTCTGAATCTGATTTACTATTTTCAGAAGTGGATTCAAATATATTTGGAAATATAAATTAATTTCATTATCACATACTAAGAATTACTATAGGAAACTTGTTAAAATTTATCCATATCTATATTCATTCGATGGAAAAAAAAAAAAAAAAACATTGATTTTGAATGGAAAAAACTTTATGTTAATGGAATAAAAATTTATGGATCTCGAAATTAGTTTTTGAAAACCAAAGTTCTCAAGTATTAATTAGGATAGAATTTAGGGACCCAATTATTATTTTCTCTTGATGAAATGTGATTCATAATTTATAAAATGAATGATATTTTACATTTCTTGGTCTCATTGAAAAAAATATTCAATCAATTTAAAATATTTTCTAAGAATAAAATTAAATAGCTTACATGATTAAAAAAAATTGACTAAGAAAATCTCACCTTTAAGGTGAGATTTCACTTTCTTTAGATAATAGAATTAATGCCATAATGTAATATAATAATTTCATGAATTATAATTTATTTTTTTCCTTAACTAAATTAAGGACTTTAGAAAATTCATGGAATATATATACATTTCCTTTTAAATTCCTTTAATCTATAGGACCTCAGTGGTTTGCATTTTTTTTTTTTTTACTTTTACTTTTTATATACTAAACCAATAAATAATACACTTGTAGTTCAGCCACTAGAAGACTTTTTTTTTTAAAAAAAATTCATTAACAGGCTTAATAGGTTAAAATAACACTGTCAGCTATATAATAGAGCTAATTTTTCCGCTGATACACTAAATTGGCAAAACTTTTAAGGTTAATAGGATTTGAATATGAGATTTTTCACTGTTCACGTTAATAAAAAGACTAAATAGGCAACACATGTTGATAAAAAAACTAATTCTTTTTTGGTTGAATATATAAATTTATCCTTAAACTTTTAACTTTAGCCGTGTGACACTTTTAACTTTAGCCTTACGACACCTTTATGGATGACTTATTATGTATTTAAAGTTGTAAATTTTAATAATAATACATATTTTTTCATATTAACAACAATTACTTTTAGGATGTTTAGCTTTTAAATGTAAAATATATATATATAATTTGTAGTTAGAATAATTTTTAAGATAATAATTCATAGTTCGAAAAAAAAAAAGGAAAATCAATTTGGGTTAAGGTGTTTAATTGATCTAATTTTATAAATAGAAGTATTTAATAAAATGATTTTATAAATTTAAGTGTTTAATATATATAATTTTATAAATTTACGTGTATGATTGATTAGTCAAATTAAAGATAAAATAATAAAAGTTAGGGGTAAAATTATATATTCGGCCTTTTTATTTTTTTTACATAGAACACATAATTTAATATTCATGTTGAGGAAATGAAAGGTAAACGGTTGTTCAAAATGATAATTTGACCATCTTAGAAAAAAAAAAAAAACAGAAAAAGTAAAAAAAGAGAATTTCACAATTTAAAAATGCAAATACCTACCATAATTTCGAAATTAGTTGACTAATATTGATGTTTCCAATATATCTCAAGGAATATGCCTGCGTCTGCCGTTCCTCTTGCCAGGTCGTTTACAGAAAGCCTATGCAATATGCCACCGTCGCTTCACATAATTACAAATCTTGCCCCTCCTTTTGACCGAGATTTGTTTCTCTTCATGTATTTTAAGCCGCCTTCTAGTAGTAATAAATAAATTTTTTGTTAGATGCACTGTAGCCCTTGATCAATGTTAAGGGCTACACGTTAAGGATAGTCCCCTTTAAATAATATTTACTAAATTAATGATAAATTTTATGGCGAAAAGAAAATTCAAACTCATATCTCTCACTCTCTGTATATTCAACAAGAGATAGGAAGATCAATTATATTACACTTTTGAATAGTAATATAATGTTTATATGCCCAAACCACTCGAATTATTCCGAATCAATTAAATATATTTAAAATTATGATTTTTGAATTTCATAATTTAGTTTGGTCTAAAATATTTAAAAATGGGATTATAAAACCAGTTTATGATTTTGGAGTTAAAATAGATCAAATTGCTATATATGATTTTTGAAATGATAAATAATTTAATGTAATTTTGAAATGAAAATTTTCCTTTCCGTTGATTAGCATATATTGATTATATTTAATAAAATTATTTGTTTCGGTAACTACAAGTTATCTTAATGGCGCTCATCAAATGTTAAAAAGTAATTACGTTTTATAAATCGCTCCATCAAACTCTAAAATCTAGTAAAAAACTACTTCAACAAACATTATAAATAATAGGAACAAAAACCAATAACTTCACGAATATTATAAATAATAAGAATAAAGATCAATTTGGTTTCTAAACTTATTTAGCTAGATAGAAATATCATATTTGACATTTTAAGCCAATTTAAGTATTGAAATGATTAAAAGATCAAATTTAACATTTTAGGTTAATTGAACCTCAAATTTAACATGTTTAATAATTATGTAGCAACACCAACCATCCAAATTCATTTTTTAGATGAAAAATGTTGAAAGAGAGCTATCAAGCAAAGTACACATTTGCAGCAGGTTTGACACACCAAAAGCAACCAAATACTAAAATACCAAAAGATCTAAAACTCAGTCAATATGAAAAAGTATTACTACCCTTGTTTGCCAATAAATATGTGCAAAGCTTCAACATAGTAATAAATAGGATAATACCAAATCAAATCAGATTATATCCAAGCTAAAAAATAATATTGTTGCCTCAACTCCCTTTTTAGACATGTAATGAGCAAAATAATTTATATATCTATTTATATGGTGAAATTTCACATGTTCCAAAGAAAATATTATCATATCAAATTTATTAAGATATTTTCACTAGCGCCAAAGACGCTTCTACTTATAAATCACCTAATAAACTGCATTTTTTAAGTCAGATTCAATAATCATATGTGATATCTTATACGGTGAGGTCCATATTACACAATGAGAAATAACCACTAATAAGTAATAAAATTTATAATTTTTTTTATCATAAATGTTGATGTAATTTATTTACCAACAAACTGCATTTACAATTTCTTATGAATTACCTAACAAACTGCATTTTTAAGTCAGACTCGATAATCATATGTGATTTCTTATATGGTGAGGTCCATATTACAAAATGAGAAATTAACCACTAATAAGTGATAAAATTTACAATTTTTTTTATCATAAATGTTGATGTAATTACAATTTTTTTTATCATAAATGTTGATGTAATTTATTTACCAACAAACTGCATTTACAATTTCTTATGAATTACCTAACAAACTGCATTTTTAAGTCAGACTCGATAATCATATGTGATTTCTTATATGGTGAGGTCCATATTACAAAATGAGAAATTAACCACTAATAAGTGATAAAATTTACAATTTTTTTTATCATAAATGTTGATGTAATTTATTTACCAACAAACTGCATTTACAATTTCTTATGAATTACCTAACAAACTGCATTTTTAAGTCAGACTCGATAATCATATGTGATTTCTTATATGGTGAGGTCCATATTACAAAATGAGAAATTAACCACTAATAAGTGATAAAATTTACAATTTTTTTTATCATAAATGTTGATGTAATTTATGTATCAAAAAATAAAAATAAATATTGCCATAATTTGAATATGTAGTGTAAACTTAGTGCTGTCAAAACAGCCTGTCCGAATAGGCCTGCACAGGCTCGATCTCAAAACCGGTGGAGCTAAAAAAGCTCATTAAAAAATGAGCCTCTAATAGTCAAGCCCGGCCCGGTCAGCGCGAGCTGGTAAACGAACCTAAACATGTCCTTTTTGAAAGTTTATCTTTTTTTTTTTTTTTTCTTTTGTTTTATTTTTTATTGATTTTGTATGTCTATTCAAAGAATTTGACGTGGAAAAAAAAAGAAAGAGGAAAACATCTCCGAGACTTAAACCTAGACCACTAAAAGTTTGTCCAATATAATTTCTATTAGGATTATTCCCTTTTTTATTTTAAAGTTATATATAAATTATTTTAACAGCAGGATCCCGCGAACCTGTTAGGCTCGTCCCGCTCAGGCTTTGGTAAAAAAAGGGCAAGTTAAAAAAAAGCTCGTCTTAAAAATAGGCCTCAATTTTTTGTATTAATATCCGAATAAATCAATCACGGGCGATTCGCAGGCTTTAGCCAATTTTAACCGTGCTACGTATACTACTAACATGGCAAATTAGTTATCTTAAATTTTCATATCATGTGATAAGCACGGCTAATAATAATGTTGAAAAATAAACCATTTATTTAATTAAAAATAATTTATACACATAAACTTACTCTTGATATCAGTTATTTTTATTAAGGTTATTCATCAATCACCCAACTCACTTGAATTGATCCAAAATTATAGTGTTGAGAAGTTAGTGATTTAAGTTGATTTAAATAATATGAAAAAAAAAATAAAAGATCAGTTAGATTTTTGATATTTAAAGTGAAAACCACCTAAATCAAACTGAATCATAGATATAGTTTTTTTTTTTTTTTTTTACAGTTAGATTTTTTGATAAATTTAAAGTGAAAACCACCTAAAAAGGATCAAAACTGAAATCATAGATATAAGTTTTTTTTTTTTGTTTTAATTTAGATAATCAAATTATTTATACTATTTTATAGTAAGTATGTAAAGTGACTTTTAAACTTTTTAGTTTTTTATAGTACCATATCACAATTTAAGTATTTTTGTTTAAAAAGAATTTATTAATGTGAAATTCATCTTTAATATATTTTATGTAAATTAGTAGATATAGTTTTTTTTTTTTTTTTTAATTTAGATTAATCAAATTATTTACTTTTTAGTGATTAAAGTGATTTAACTTTTTAGTTTTTATATACCTCACATTTAAGTATTTTTGTTTAAAAAGAATTTATTAATGTGAATTCATCTTTATTATTTTGAATTTAGTTGATTTTGAATACTCTTTATGATTTGATTTAAATTTATTATAAAAAATTCAACCAAATAAATACATAAATACTAAACACACTCTAAAAAAAAAACACCATCCCCAGTTCAGTACAATTTTTTTACTCGCGTCGAGTGTTAAAGTTGTAAATAAGCTGAAAACAGTGGCCATAATGTGATTCAAACATCTCGTATAAAGAACGCGAAAGTAGTACCAGCAGTAGGGCCGGTTGGCCAATAAAGCCGGAGAGACTCGGCTCAAGCACCCTCATTGGTAAGCGAGGGACTTAGGCAGAGAAAGGCTCTCTCTCTTCATTTCTCTCGCTTCCTTCAGCAAATTCCTCATTTCTCTGCAATGGCTTTCTCAGATTCTCATCGCCAATCCCTAATCCCTAGCTTCCTCTACTCCGCTTCCTCTGCAAAAACCCTCTCTGTCTCTAAACTCCTCCACTCAAACCTCGTCGAACCATATCCTTCTTCATCGCCGTCACTTATGAGAACGTCTGGTAGCTTTGTGATCCCCTCTCCCAGCGAGCCAGGAAAGATAGAGATGTACTCACCTGCTTTCTACGCTGCTTGCACGGCCGGAGGTATTCTTAGTTGTGGACTTACTCACATGGCCGTCACACCTCTTGACCTTGTTAAGTGCAATATGCAGGTATTGTTTCTTTAGATCTGTGATTTTTTTTGTGATTTAGCTGCCTTTTTTGCTTGATTTTGGTGTTCTATGTGGTTGATAAGATCTGTATTTGGTTTTTGATGATCTCTTTTTGATAAGATTGTTTTGTGATTTAGCTGCCTTTTGTTGCTTTAATTTGATTGTTTTCGTCTTCGATTCCGTTTGGCGTAGTTTTTTTAGCTTTGGCGATTGTTTTGAGATTTATATGTCGTTTTTGCTTTACTTGATCGCTTTATTCTTAGATCGTAATCAGATCTCCGTTTAACTGTAATAAGTTTCTTTTCTTAATTTGTGTATCTGCTCTTTAGACTTTTCAAGAGATCTGTAAGCAGAAGTTTCTTTTATGAATTTTTACAAATTATTTTCATTCCCGCTTGTGTTTTTACTTTTGAGACAGGAACTGTTATATTCCTTTGCACTTTTGTTTTATGGTTATTTATGTTTTTTCTTTTTTTCATTTCCTACGAGGTGTGGCTGTTTCTTCATTTGGATGGTATTAATGTTTCATTTTCTGATCTGAATCATACTGTGTTGCAAAAATCATTTACTGTGTATAGGACCTCTTTTTTTTTTCTTTTCTTTTTAAGCACAGGAATAGATTGAAATGTAATTCTCTGACCTGAGCTTTGCCTTGGTAATATGGCTAATTGCAAACAATTGATATTTTGGATCTGTGGATCTTTGCATAAACTCTGATGGACTTGTAGCATACCCAGTTGACAATGGTTTTTCACAGGCTGGACCTGTATATATTTTATGTCCCTGACGCACTGTCGTTTGTGAGTTTGATAGAGAATTGTAATTTTTTTTTTTTGGTCATCACAGTGCAATGTATGGTCATTGATATAACGTCCTATTGTTTGTTATCAGCATTGCAGTAAATTATTCAATGTTCAAAGTTTTACTTCAGGGTTCATATAACTCTTTGAGAGTTTATGGAGAAGAAGTCATTGACTTAGTTTTCAGTTTTACCCTTTAGTGGAAAAGTGCATCAAATCAATGTGAATTATTTGGAGGATATTGTTGGCAAAATAAACTTCTAATTAAAATAGAAGAGTGGACAATTTATTTGTGACAGCCCAAATTAGTAATATGGACAATTATTTTGGGGTGGATGGGGTATTTATTTCATGTAGTTTGCTTTTTTAGCAACCAAACATGGACGATTTGATTTGACTCATCATACTTGTATTTTGGATGTCATAAACTACAATGGTGATGGTGGGTGTTTTCCAGATTGATCCTGCAAAGTACAAAAGCATCTCATCTGGTTTTGGAGTTCTTCTCAAGGAGCAGGGTGTTAGAGGCTTCTTCAGGGGTTGGGTGCCTACCCTCCTTGGCTATAGTGCTCAGGGTGCCTGCAAATTTGGATTCTATGAGTTTTTCAAGAAATACTACTCTGATATTGCTGGGCCAGAGTACGCTGCCAAGTACAAGACCTTGATTTATCTTGCTGGTTCTGCATCTGCTGAGGTTATTGCAGATGTTGCCCTTTGTCCTTTTGAGGCAGTAAAGGTTCGAGTTCAAACTCAGCCTGGTTTTGCTAGAGGCTTGGCAGATGGGCTTCCCAAATTTGTTAGATCTGAGGGCACATTAGGGTATGATTATGAAGTTCATAAAAATACTGAATTTGCTGTGTTATGTTAATCTGTAAATGACCTGTCGGAATTTTTCAGGTTGTACAAAGGTATTGTTCCTCTTTGGGGGCGTCAAATTCCATGTAAGTCATCTACTTCCATTTTATTTTTTCTTATTGTGCATCAAAGAAAGTTGATAATCATCATTTTGCAATTTCTCCTGTTCCGTATTTGTGATATCCTTTCTTCTATCATGTTTTATTAGTCATTATCCTAAGGCATGTTATTGTAGTAAAATTGATTGCTTTATAATATTTTTAGGACATGTATTGAGTAGGTAGTGATTAGTTTGGAACTTGTTAATCCTTTAAGAACTGAAAGGGGGAAAATTTTTTTAGCACAAGAGCACTCTAGTCCACAGTACTATATGTTCAAAGCGGGCAAGCCAGGGTGAAGCAGCCTACTAAATTGTGAATATGATATTTGGCCAACTTTCAACTGATAATGTCTTGATCTATTTATTTTTCAAGAGAAACATCTAAAATTTCATTGTATGCATTATGATTGTGTATACTGTGATATCATTTAGTAAATCATGAACAAAAATGCCTATGCCTCTATGCATCTGTTTTCATTGTATACACTGTGATTGCATTTAGTAACTTGTGAATAGAAATGCCTATGCCTGTAAGGTTCTGTTTTCATTGATAAGGATCTCAGTATCTATGCATTTTCATTTCTTCCCGTTTATGGTTTCCTTAACCATTTGAGGCCTTCATTTTTTGTAACAATGGTGGAGTTAGTTGTTTCTGGCAATTCATATGATCAAAAATGCTTTTATTGCAGACACAATGATGAAGTTTGCATCTTTTGAGACCATTGTTGAGATGATTTACAAGCATGCCATCCCGACACCAAAGGACCAATGCAGCAAACCCGTACAGCTGGGTATTAGTTTTGCTGGTGGTTATGTTGCTGGTGTTTTCTGTGCTATTGTATCTCATCCTGCTGATAATCTTGTCTCTTTCCTCAACAATGCTAAAGGCGCAACTGTTGGTGATGTGAGTTTTTTTTTTTTTTTTTTTTTGGCACTGTGGTTTATGTTGCCTGGATGTTTTCTGTGCTATTGTAATCTCATCCCTGCTGATAATCTTTGGTCTGCTATTCCTCAAACAATGGCTAAAGGCGCAACTGTTGGTGTGTTGCAGTTTTATTTTTTTATTTTTTATTTTTTTGGTGATTATCTGTTTTTTTTTTTTTTTTTTTTTGGTGATTATCTGGAAATTAAACACTACATGCTTTTATTGTTACCAATTCTTTTTTTTTTTTTTCCCCTTTTTTTCAGGCTGTGAAGAAGCTAGGTTTGTGGGGCCTGTTTACCCGTGGACTTCCTCTCCGTATTGTCATGATTGGTACTCTTACCGGAGCCCAATGGGGTATCTATGATGCATTCAAAGTTTTTGTGGGATTGTAAGTATTGTGGATGATCGTTTTATCACTTTTTGTTACTTGATCTGGTATGTCATATTAATGGGCTCTGATGTCATTTTCAGGCCTACAACTGGTGGTGTTGCTCCTCCTGCTCCTGCCGCAACTGAGCTTGCAAAGGTGTAAATTTGGAGATAAGAAGAATTATCTTTTGTGGTGTTTTGTGGAAGCTGGGAAATCTATAGGTTAATAAACATAGGATTAACGACTCTCAAGTTGAAGATTATTCTTTTGCATTCAGTTATTGCTTCAATTTTTGTCATTTTGACTAATTTTGTATGCAGAAGGATGGTTTTGTTTTCATCCTTCTATAATGAATACATTTTGCTAGTTAGATCTCATATGAATTTCATTTTGATGTTAGGATCCACAGTATCCCCTGTCAAAGACAACCAAAAATAATGGGCAGATGGGGGGATATATTCTGTTCTGTCCGCATTTCTTGCGATGCTTTTGCTATATGAGAATACACATTTTTGCTATGTGGACGCATTAGTTTTTGGCCTTGAATGCCTCTTTATTATTATTATTATTATTATTATTACTTCATCAGTAATTTATTCATATTTGCTGGCTATAGTGTTCTGGTTGTGGGTAAATGTTTCTGTTTGCCCATAGAATTGATGTGAATCCATCAACAATATCTTTCCCAAATTAATAGAATCAAAACATGGTCCAATAGGTAACAATTAATTACATGAGCGAATTGGATTTTCTATCACTAAGTTGAGGTTCCCAGTAATATCACCAAAATTAAAATTAAAAACAACAGCAAAATAACCATTTTTGCATCCAGATAATGGTCTTCAGGTAAAATTCGTAAGGTTCATTATTTTCAAAAATATTTATGAAATTTCATTATCTTTTTTATTTGCAGAAAGTTCTAAATTCAGGAAAGTAAGTATGCATTTGTGAACTCGTTTTTACTTTCCGAATTACGACGTTGTCAAAAGCAATGTAGTTTTTTTCAGTAAATTCACAAATTTGAGAAGGTTCAAAAATTTCTCAAGCGTTCTACTTTTGGCATCAATAAAGTTCTCGTTGTGACCAAAAAAAAAAAAAAAGCCACGTAACAAACAAACAAACAAAAAAGTTAAGTTCAACAGCTTAACATGTTTAACATGAAGCAATGATAGTTCATAAAAACCGAAAATCAAATGCAACCAAACTGATTAACCATTACCAGTTCGGTTATGATTTGTGAACCATTGAACTACTTGATTCAAAAAATTAGTGTACGGTTCAGGGACTATAGTTACTTTGTCCATTTGGTTTCATCAAATAATGTTTCGATAAGAAGCAGAACAAACAGCAAGAAATCCTGCAAGCCATTATAAATCATAATACAAATAAATTAAGTACATCAAGCAAATTACCATAAGCTTGTTTTGCTGGAGTTAGAGCCTGAAAATTAGAATACATAATTTATAACGATAATTACTAGATATTCCCTCACTCTTAAAACCAACTCCACTTAAATTCACATGCTCATTCACATGCTCCAATTGTAAATAAACCAAAGAATTGATCTATCCAATACTAATATACAGTATCATGATTCGTGTCCATTTATTGCTGTCTAAAGAAGACTCCTTGGACCTGGAATTTTGGAGAGATGATGAACTTGGACTGCGCCTGGTTCAAGCAAGATTAATTGTGAAGGACACATAAGGGTAAGCACCCGCATCGCCTCCAAGTGCTGCCATCCCGCCTCCAATTTCATCTTCTGATTTCCAGTATGTGCTGCATTATCATAACAGGTAGGATAATGAGAATGTAGGGCAAGAGAAGCACTCATGCATGACATGCCACCATCATAAACACAACTTAAAGGTAAGTAAACTCATGAGTCATGAAATTGGTATAGCAACCATATGATAAATCAATGAGATGTTGCTCAGGAATGTCAAAAGAAAATGAGAGAGATAGAGAAAGTAAGAGATTGATGCTCTATAGAGAGGTGCCAGAAAAACCAGATCAAGGAATTAGTAAACACAGTAGAAAGACTAATATACTGAAATTGTCATTTCCATGGCTGCCGCAGCCAGAAAAATAGAATTTTTTTTTTTGTTCATCTATCATAACACATTCCTTGACATTTCAAGCAGTGAGTTTAGCATTACCCAATCAGTTTCTGAAATCTTGATAGCTCTTGAATTTAAAGACGTTATTGATGAAATGTTCTCAGAGATGCAGCATATTAATGTAGGAATCTTTTGAAAAAAAAAAAAAAAAGAAGAATTTCTTAAAAGCTATAAAGCAAGAATTTGATCATGAGTCCCCTCAATATATGATGAAGCGTCTATGCACAGAGCAGTCCTCTCAAACCTTTCCACACTATCCAGAGTAATATCATTTGATTCCAAAAATAACCAAAAAGTGTGCTTCAAGTAAGAGTTTCTACGAAAGAACTGGATAATTTTTTGTCAACTATTTATGTGTAAAAGTAATTCAGAGTCCCATGAATTACAAATCAACCTCAAGTAGTAGTTTTTAGTGATCATATGGTAAGTTCATTCAATATATGTGAAAAAAACATTTAAAAGCACGTTAACTTGCCTGTTTGCACTGTCACATAATCCCTCAAGGATTGAACGCACTTTCTTCTCACTTTTCGCAGAAGGAGCTAAAACACAAGACTGAAATGATCCCAATAACCAATGGTTGGTGAGAAACAAATGCTTATTATGAAATTCATGGAAAATTAAAATATAAAGAGTATTTACCAAGAAAGAAGGTGGCAATCCATATCTTAGAATACTTTCTGAAAAAACGCGTACTGCACAAAAGTGCATCCAGGAGCTGAAAACCTGCATGAAATAAACCACCCAGCTTAAAAGAGAATTGCCATGACACACATAGAAACGAAGATTTTTGTTTGTGAACACTTAACAGAAATATGAGAATGCAAAGACAAGTCATAATTATTGACAAAGATTAGAGCAATTCCGAGTACGACTTAGGCTAGTGTTTTGGCATTAGCCTATTTAGTTGGATAAATATATCCAGGCTCCTAAAGCCATAGGCCTAAATCATATAAAAATACATGAAATAGCCCATCAGAGGAAGAATACTGTGATTCTAAAGTCCAAAGAGGCAGCTAAGATATGATAACCCCAACATATCAAGAAAACAAAATCCCTATCCTGAAGATGGTAAATTGTAGGTTTGTCCATTTGGCGGTAATCATTTACCCGCAATAAAAAACCAAATCAGAGCTCAGAAGACTGGTAAAACATGATCCTAGGATAACTTTAACACTAGCTGTGGCTTATAATTACATGAGCACATAGTTCCAATAGATCATCAGAACAAAACCAAATATTTTACAATTCAACTTGGCGCACCATAATAGAGGAACATTGGTTAATACCATGAATCCTCTCTTATAGAGAACATCTCATAAGATCCATTAATTTAAGCTACACAATCATGCTAGACATGCAATTTTAGACAACATCAAGAAATTTGGAGTTATTACAGTCTCATGCATTTTAATGTTAGTATCAAGCATTAAAAGTAATCTATGATAACAGAAAAATAGAGTCTACAGAGCTCGTCAGCAAGGGAGAAGTATACAGAGCTTGTGATAGCTTGGTGCCTACAAACAACTTTTCACATCACAAACATTGTGATTAATAGTCCCATTTTCCATTTTCATTTTTCTTATAGTCTTACTTGGCAGGCATTTGTACTATAGTCTCGTAATACTCTGCCAACAATCATGCAGCTGAGGTACAAAAAAGGTTTCTGGCAACCATTTCCAGCTAGCCCTCAACTATGGCAATTTAGAGCTAATGCCATATGACATTCTCATCAAAGGTTTAAAACAACTATAAGATAGAATCCACAAACTATCATCATACTTATACTATCTCATCAATTCATCAGTATCAAACCAAGAGTATATTTACTACCAGAGACTTCCGTACCCCCAAATTCAAGCAATTATTCTATTTCCTTTAAACCTCAATTAATCAAACCCATTCCAAACTTTAAAATTCCCCAACTTATATCCCCCAAGTTTGTCCTAAAATCTTTAAGTTCATCTAACTTCTATCCACCACAAACAAATGAGGGTAGATTAATCCAAACCTAGTCAGAATCATATAATCTCGAAGAAAAAGGAAAAAGGAAAGGAAAAGAAAGGAAACAAAATTACCTCTCCATAACTGGTATAGCTCCATTGCAAAAGAGAGCTTCTTAAGCTTTCTTGGTCTTGCATTAATTTTTCCAGCTCTTGCTTCCTACCCTCTTGTGCTTCTGGACTATATTCAAAATCACGAATCTGGACCACATTGATAAACAGACACAACCATAAATTAGAGATCCCTACCCACTCAATAATTTAGAGCAAGTTCTTACTCATGCTGATATTTCAAATGAAGATGCCAGATTTGTATAAAAACATGAGGTGGTGTTATTCTTAAAAGCATTCATGCAACAATGCTAAAGCAAGTCCAATGCTAAAAATATACTAACTTGGAACCCCTTTTCACGAGCACTTGTTCTAAAATTGTCAGCAACGCGACGGAATAGTGTTACTGTATAAAGAGCATATTCATTATCCTCGTATAACTTCTTGGAGGACCTGGGAACCTGTAAGAGCCAAGCCAGACAAATCAAGCAGAAGCAGCAAAACCGTGCCAATAAAATAAACTGCACCAGATTCCAAGAAATTGTTATGCTAGATAGGTCCAGGCAAAACCCAAGTGAATTGCATTGCTGCATTACCCTACTAAGTTATTTTTCTTAGGCTCAAGTGAAACTGCACAAGCATTTAATACAAGCACGCATGTTTACACTGATTTTAACCGCCAAACAGCAAAGAGTCATATCATGTCCAATTATCTTCATCCAATATGGGGTATGTTAGGACAAATGAAGAATTGAAGTGATTATGCTAATAATTACAACAAACATACAGCAGTAACCATTAGATTAAAAATTCACAGGCAAAGGAAAAAAAAAATTACCACATAGCTAGTCAAAAGTTTCATTGGATAAATGAAGAATTGAAGTGAACTATGCTACTAAGGATAACAAACACAGCAGCAATCAATGGATTAAGAATTCGCGGGGTGAAGGAAAAACAAATTTTACCACATAGCTAGTCAAAGTTTCATAGCTTGCCAACCAGTCCTTCTGTGAATACTTGGGAACAACTGCAAGGAGGGTTACAAGATGTTCAGAAGCAATAATATCCTGGGGTTTCACCAGATCGGAGAGATCACGAACAGCTAAGCTGAAATGGAAAGACATTGGTTATACAGGGAACAAGAATATGGTAACCCTATATCCACAATTATACCCAAATGGACGCTAATACCTTCCACTTTGCTTTCGGTTGATGGCATTGAGTTGACTTCGCACATTGTTATACTCCGCAACTCGAACCTAACATAATATACAAAACTTAGAACTCCAAACTTCCTATCCTATTTACATGGATTAAATTGTGGTCTACACTTTCGAATCATCTAGTCAAAACCAGGTTTTATTTCTTAGGGAAATGATCAATAAATTACTTCAGCATTTCACCATTCAATGCAGGAGAGAATGCCAAATAATGTCGAAAGCCATTTACAATCATGCAAAAATAGCTCATCCATAAACAACAAGATACAAAATTGGCAGTAAAAATGCCAGAGTACAGAATCCATAAACAAATCTTTCAATTACGTTGGAGGGAAAAAAAAAAAAAAATTGGTTACAGACAATTAGTTGTGCTTCATAAATGTAGAAATTCAAGAATATGTTATGTTGTTGTGATGGGAACAGTAATCATAGCAATTCATTCAACAAAAAGAAAAACTAATGAGAAATGAAAACCTACAAAACAAATATACCAATATATCTCTCCTATATATGTATATGCTAAGGTAAATCAATTGACATGATGCTGCTTCTCTCCCTACATAGCATTTTCTTATGGCATCATGCTCCTAGTTTTTCATCCTGTCTTACTTTGAAACTAGCATCAGAAGTAAACCAACTGTTTGATTATCTACAAAATAATCATCACCTTGAGGTCATCCTCAATCTTTGCCACTTGAGAATGAATGTTGTCCACAATCTCCCTTAGCGGTGACATGGTTGGATACTTTGCTTCATCCCACACAAACCTATTGATCACAAAATCCAAAATAAATAATTAATAATAATAAAAACGATAAAAATAAAAATTCTTCAACTTTAATTCACATCCATAGTTCAATGAATCATTAAACATTACCTGGTGAGGTATGAATCAACAGGTATACCATCAACAGTTAAAGCACTGCTCTCTACACCAGACACCCTCTCCAATTCCTCGATCTGTCTCCTGATCTTGTGAGACACTCCTTCTATAAAGGTATTTGACTGCACATTCAATTGAATCAATCATAATTTACAATACCAATGAATTTACCCCTAAAATCAAAATCGAATTGAAACCTATAAATATAAAATCATACAATCCAAAAACAAAACAAATTAGACAATTTCTATTTCCATTTCTAAATTTCATAAGAAATTAAGCAAATACGATCCCATAAATGAATCAAAGAGGGTAATTAAATAAATTTAGCATTGGCGAGACTGCAAAAGCCACGGAAAAAACAGATACCTTCAAGAGATCGTCGCTGAGAGAGAGAAGAGAATCCAAAGTTCCAACACGGAGATTAGGAATATTAAACTGAAAGGGAAAGGAAAAACACAAAATCAAAAGAAATGAAATTGAGTAATCGAAAATCAGATCAGGTAAAGTGGATTGAAAGATAAGAGAAAAAGAGGATAGTGAAGTGAAAGTAACCCTGTAGAGAGGAGTATCAAACGAATGCTTAGAGATTTGATCTTGTAAACGATTCCAAAGAGTGGAAGCCGAGTTTTGAACAGGCAGAGACACCATCCAGTATCTACTAGCCATTGTTATCTTTTTTCTACTTTGTTTCTTTTGTCCTCTTCTTTCGATTTCGAAGCTTATACGCACAGAAGGAAGGTGACAGAGACTGAGACAGAGAAAGAGAGCCTTTCTCGTTATGGAGGAGAAGAAATTTCCATTAATTTTTGTTCGTTATTGTTTATTTATTTATTTATATTTATTTAAGAGAGAGTGTATTCGTTTCTGCTGTGTATACACTGCAGTGGATCGGATCCTTCATTTTACAGAACAGTTAATTTGTTTCTGTCCAGTAAAGGTTGACCACGTCATCACTTTTTAATGTTTAGATTAAACCAAGGTCGCATTTGGATACTGATGAAAAATTACTTCTATAGACAAATAGAATTTTAGGAAAATATTACAGAAAAATTAAATTATCATATTTGAGTGATAGAAAATATTTTTCAAAACATTAGTATAATTGTGACAATTAATATTTGTTATATTAGTGAGATTTTTCAATGACCAAATGCTGCCTCATCCGAAGCTTCAATTTTTTATAATTTGTGGTGTATTTAGTTTGTTTTCCATGGTTGGAAATAATATACGAATTATGAGAGATACTTTTATTTTTAAATACTCTCAATTTTTATTATCATGTCATAAATAATAATAACTATAATAATACTAATAGTAATAATATTATTATTACTATTGTTGTTTTTTCATGGATTTAGTTCGTATTTATCTCCTCTAAAATATTTTTTAACAAACTGGATTCTTAATCTTATAAAGATTATCCGCTATACTCAAATGTATTTTATTTTTTTATGTTTCACTATAAGAGTTATTATTTAGAACTTGAAAATAAAAATGAGTACAATTTTTAGTAAAAAATTAGATTATTATATGAATTTAACAATAATAGTTGCACAAAATTCATTGGTTTAAATTTATAAATTGATCCTTCTAAAAAAATTATAATTTGATATAAAATGTAGGAATTTTGATTTAATTTTAAGAGTTTGAAATAAATTAGAAAAATAAATAAAGAAAAGCCATTCATTGGTTTAAAATAATAATTTGATCCTTTGAAAAAGTTATGGAAACAAAACTAAATGACATAGCAATAAATAAAGCTGGCATAGGAAAAAAAAGACATATGCACACGCCCACCGTGGGACTCGAACCCACGACCACAAGGTTAAGAGCCTTGCGCTCTACCGACTGAGCTAGACGGGCTTGTTGATAGAAAAATGTAAATTATAATATATTATTTAAGTTTTGATTTCTACTCCACCAAACAAATATATATACACACCCCTGGTAATCTAATTTCAGTTTAGATAATAATATTTAGACCTTGCTTAACTTGGTGATGAATGAAAGATTTTCCTCTATGCTAGCTTATTTTAGTAAAAAGGAAAGAAACAAATGGCCAAGGGGAATAATAAGGTATTAAACAATCAGAATGTATAAATTACCAGTTTCATCAGTTCAAGAGAAGCACACATTTGATATTAATTCATGTCACAAGTTTTTTACACTTGCTACCCTTTATTACAATTATAGGGCACTTAAAATAAGTACACTGCTTAATTAGTGCAAAATGAAGTCTCATTCATACTCCATTTCTTATACTTTGAGCTGGTGCAGACCCATTTGTTAACAAAATGCACTACCTTATATACATACAGAACCTAATTGAATTCGTCGAGTGACAAGTTCTCGACCGATCCAAAGTTTTCCATTTGCCCAATTCTCGAATAATTAGTTAACGATCCACCCAAAAAATCAAGTGGTGAGTCATTAGAGATGATGGTGGTTGTGTCGTAGATAAATGACAAGCCGGTATTATCCACCATAGGATAGTTCATATAAAAGGAGCTTGATTTATTAACCTCATAATCATGAAGAAATATGTCGTTGACCGCAGTCATGGCTATGTTAGCATATACATCTTCATCCGACGCCTTCCTAGCCTGAATTACCTGAGTAACCATAAAAATTATATGCTTCTATTAGTAACGCCTTTAAATACATCTAAAAAATGCAACTAAAGAAGAGAAGAAACATACATAATTCTGGTTTTGCATGTCTTTATATACCATAATAAAATCTCCTAGTTGTAATCCATGTGTGTTAACAAAGTCGCCTAGCGAAATTCAATACAAGGATGATGGTTATTACTAACAGAAAAAAAATTATGGTTAAAGGATAATTTTGAGAAGCAATAAGGGAATGAAGCTTATACCTGTGTTTTCAAGTACATACATCCGACTATTGTTATTAGGCCAGTACCTAATGAGAATATAAAGAAATTATAAGTTTATCGCAATATTTTGTTTCCTTTCTTATGTTATATTGAGCAATCTAATTAATTTCCTCTTTATCAAAATGAATTTTAGATGTCGTGATGGTATAAGTTGTCAAAAAAAAAAAAAGAACCTGTATTTGAAGCTCCAAACATGCAGACCATCCAAGTCATCCATGCTAATAAAAATCCCCTCTTTGGACTCAAGGACAGGGAGATGTGCCTCGGCTGCTTTCTGCAACACAATCTCATAACCTTTAGTAGATATAAGGATTTCATGAAGGAGTCAAAGAAATGGAAATCAAAGTTGTAATTGCTATTGAGATGGCATACTTCAGTTTACGAGTTAATTAATTAAAAATGATTATGAAAAGAGAGGTCATAGAACATATATATACAATCTTTAACACGTAATGTAGGGAAATACAAATATTAACTAATTAGACCTTTGGGAGTATCATCCTCTTCAGGGAGCTTACATCACTGTTCTTAAGTTCCTTTTGAAAGAGGAAACTCAATCTCCTTTGGTCAATTACCTATGGCATAGGAACATCTTGGGTCATTATGGCGAAGATTTTATCAAAATAGAAATATAATCTACAACGTAAATGAGAAACATTGTATAAGGATATATATCCAATTAAATGAAATACCAATGCTCCGACATGCTGTTGGTCGCAAAATATTGCTAAGATACATATACGAATACTACCAAAACAATCATGAAATTCACTCCTTAGATCTTTGCTACATTCAAAACAAAAAATGCCAATAACAACGGCGAGTACACGCGCAGAAATTAACAAATTTCAAATGCTTAAATTCTAATTGCATCATTCCATTTTTGGTTCTCTACCGGAAAGAGTACAAATATGCAAACCACAAGCAAACAAGGAAGAATTAGCAAAAAATTTTACTGCACAAGTCCATTGAATTAATTAAAAATACTGCATTGGATTAATGAAACAGTAAAAAGTTATTAAATTTTAAATGGCTTTTATAAGTGAAATAGAGGTATGCAACCCTATATATAATTCCAAAAATATATTACGTCGGAAAAAAAAAAAAAAAGCATACCTATCTAAAAATGGCACTTAAATTTTGTAACTCCAGAAATTAATGGAATAAAATCCAAACTACAAAAGTCCTCCAAATCGCGGACAATACGTGTTCTTGTTCGGTTAGCCATATGTCGAAATTCTCAGGAAACTCCATTTACTCTAATGTCAATGGTAGGCAAGTGCATATATCCTTGAGTTGCATTTTGTTTTTATTTTTTTTGAGAAAATCTTACAAGCAACTATTGATTAAGGAATAAATTAACAATGCAATTATGTGTTAAATTAATCAAACTAAGAAATAACTTATCACACCCGAAATTATAAAATCTCTTCTTAGATCAACAATTTCATTTATATGATTATATTACTTGTCAGGATGCAAAACTCAAATTTGTCTTGCCATAAAGTTTTTTCTCTTTTTAATTTTTACACTGGAAGAATCGGTTTTGAACACATTCGACTTTGAAAAGGGAAAAATTAGAATAATAACAACTTTGGTCATGACTGCAAGAAAAACAGAATTACCAAGATCATTGTTTTCTAGTTTCATAGTTCCCTATATATATATAAATTTGAGAAAAGGTTGTCTCTGTAACAAGAAAATGAAAAGAATAATATATAAATGTAAAAAAAAAAATTGTGCTTGTGATCATATAGATTAACATGTAAATTTTAGTTTCAAAATCCACAAAATTGTCTGAAACATATGAAATTGGTCTATATGCTAGTAAAAAATTGAAATATATATTACCGCTGGAAATTAAATTATAAGCCTAATAATAATAACAGCAGAGAAGAAGAAATTAAATTAATTAATTAACTGAGGAATAATTGAAGGATAAAATTAAGTAACAAATGAACTCACCTCAGCTGAGAGTAATCCCTTGAGAAACAAAACAGTATGCAAAAACCAAAATATATAAAAAGAAAAACCCAATTATTTTAAAAAGAAAATATAAAAAAAAAAGAAGTGCTCACACGTGCGGGGAAGGAGGGAAGGTGATGCAGTGGAGGAGAAGGCACGTGCGAAGTAGCAGTAGTAGTGATGTTCGTAGAAGAGGAAGCAGAAGCAGCATTAGCAAAAGAAAAAAGGTGATTAATGGCGGAAGATGGTCTCCTCTGTCTAGGCATCCTTTTCTTCCTTATGACACCAAAGCCCAACACAGCAGCAACAACCTCATTACGGGTCAACCCGATCCGATCCGACCCATCATCATCCGTAATACTATTAGTAGTAGTAGTAGAGTCGTCTGCCTTGTCCCCCTCCACAGTAACAACGTCTCCACCTGCCATCCAAGCACGCGCCTCGGGTTTCTCATGACCCGCCCCTTGTTCCTTCATCATTAGCTTAGGGTTTATCTTTGCCTTTTCTTTCTTCTCTTATATAGTAAAAGCACAAAAAGGAAAAAGACTCAGTAGTCTCTGTTTTTAGATTTCAGTGATGGACAGTAACTGGAATGATCAGATTCAAACTCTACCGGTGATCGACGCTCGGCAAACGCGAAATGGGTTAAAACTTAAAAGAGAAAGCTAAAAGAAAGAAAGAGAGAGATGGGTTTTCTTTATTTATTGGGTTAGACTCAGTATTTTCTTTTTTTAATTTAGTTTTTGCTATTTTTAGTAAGAAGATTTTACATTTGTGCTTGTTGCATTCCCTTCTTCTCCAGTAGATATTTTCTTGTTGTCATTTACATATTTAAATAAAAATAACCCTAATGAAAAAGAAAATGACAACAGTGGTAGGGTTTGGAGAAGAAATATTATAAATGTATGGTTAGGAAAAGGGAGATGTGGATGGAGATGGTTGGATTTGAGTTGGTGAGTGTAACTAAACTAGGGTTAAATGATGAAATGAGAAAGAAAGGAGGATAGGGAAATGGTGGTTAGAGAATGGCCAAGAGAAAGGTGACGAATGGAGGGTGAAGAGCAAACAGGTGTTCAAAAAGTTCTGTTGCTTTGTCTACAGAAATCAATGGCGTTTTGGTGCCTTATTGGACTCTCCGTCTTTCCATGTGAAGAAAAAACCTCACTCTCTTTCTCTTTCTCTTTCTTTCTTTTGTTTTGTGTCTCTTGATGAGAGAGAGAGAGAAAGAAAGAGAAGGGTGGTTTTTTGAATTTGAAGGTGGGAAATAAAAACCGCTTATTATATAATATATATTTTCTTCGCTTCAAAACCTATCATTCTATTTTCTTGAGTGTTTTGCTCTTATGACATTTGTTGTTTTTATTTATTGCTTTTTCTATATAAAATTAAATAATATGAATTTTATAAAATGAAATATATGAGCTTTACTTAAAAAATAAAACACATCAAATAATCCATGTAATTTCTAAAATTATAAGATTTTTTAATTTTTAGAAATAAAGAATTAACTACAATTACCAATAAGCAGTTAAATTTACGACGGCAATTTTCAGTGAATTTATTAATAAAATTAAGAATTATTAATAAGATTTTATTTGAATATTAACCTGCCTTAAATTTGAATTACATATGTAAAAAAAAAAAAAAAAATCTGAGTGTTTTGTCTTATGATCATTTGTTGTTTTTATTTATTGCTTTTCTATATAAATTAAAATAAATATGATTTTATAACAATGAAATAATAATGAGCTTTACTTAAAAAATAAAACACATCAAAATAATCCATGTAATTTCTAATTATAAGATTTTTTAAATTTTTAGAATGAAAGAATTAACTACAAATTACGGCAATAAGTCAGGTTTACAGATTTACGACGGCAATTTTCAGGTGAAGTTTATTAATAAAATTTAAAGAATTATAATAAGATTTATTTGAAATATTAACCTGCCTTAATTGAATCTACATAATGTAAAAAAAAAAGAAAATCCCATTCTGTATGCTTTGCTTGAGCATATCTCATTGTAAACAATTCGTACTTTCTTTATAAATTGAGATATTTATTATCAAACAATTGTTTCATAGAAAAAAAATTTTATAAATCAATAAAAAAATAAGTTTTTATTAATATCAATAGAATTTTGTAAAATCAATTTTTATATAATTTAGCTTTCTTTTCATGTTAATCCACCTATTTGTTTCAAATTCAATTAGTAGAAGCTTAATTTTACTCGTATCCGTGTCAGAAACTTAAAAGATGAATATTTTCGATCCAGAAATGTTTCATCATCTATAAAGATATATAAGTAATATTCGACCATTTATTTAAGAGACGTTTAATCCTTTCTAGTAATAATAATTAATAAATTTCGTACCTTTCCTTTTTGCATTAATTTGAGTGGTTATAGATTAAAAAATTTTTTTTTTATATTCATGGATTTGGGGTTATATGTGGTTAGTTATAATCAATTTGATGATGTATTATTGGATGGCTGTTATAGTAACTATGTCTTTTTTAATAAATAGAGATTGTAGGTTTAAGTTGAAAACGCACGCATGCGAATAATGTATCTTGGTTGGATTTAAAGCCTATATGCGCTTAATTAGCTGTTGTGTTTTTCCGTGTCACTACACCCGCCTGACAATATAGCCTGTACGAGTGTGGTTTTCTAAAACTTAAGAAGAAACGGTAAGAGTTCAAGTATTTTATGCGTCGCGCTAAATATCTTTTAATAGGGATTTTGTCAATTATGATGGTTTATGTACTCATAGCTTATTGTGGAATAAATAACGTATTGGGTGAAAGTAGCAGATTATACTAATGCGATAAAGGAAGAAACTTGTAAAAATTATTTGTAAGAATGAAAATAAAATTATTGAGTTGTGAATGTATTTTTTGAAAAATAAAGTGGGAAGAAAAGTTGTAACTGTATTTTATATGAAGTATTAGAAAAGAAGTGGTATGTTTTGATACAGTGAGATAGTACAGACCCATGAAAGAATGGGTAATTTAGTAGACATTCCTACCAGGCTGAGCATTGTCGTTTCTATTTTCTTTATTATGGATAAAAATTGGTAGTTAAGTTTATTTTTTATTTTGTCTTTGCTAGTATGGTATTTACTATCGGCAAGTCCTGTTTCTTGTATAAGCAGCAAAAACCTTGAGATTCCGCCAAGCCTAGGAAGAGAGCCACGTGGTGTTACATGCGAAATTTGTGTGCTATGAGGAGTAATGCATTGAGACGAAGATCAATTACTACTCACTCTCGCAAAAGTTACCTTAACGCTTGCACTAATTACCTGTTTGCTTTATTTTAACGCCGACTAATAGAAGTTTGATATTGACAATAGCACGACCTACTGTTTAAAACATCCTTATATTATTCTTTTGAGTTAACCTCAACAATCTGATCACTAGCAGAATGCATCCTTCTCTCAGCTTACTCACAACGTTTTCCTTCCGATTTGCTGCAAAGACCTAATATTGCAGGATATATAACAGCTTTTTTGGTGCACCTAATGATCTTCTGTCGGTTCGTATGCACATGAAAAATACAAACTATAGAAAGCAAAACCAAGAAGACGCCATTGATATATTCTGCAGGAAAGACTAAGATGAACCAAATTTCTAATCAATTGTCCCTAACTACAGATTCTTGGGGCAATGACCAATCAAGAATCATGCCAAGATGGGTTTCTTAATTCTATCTTTTTGCGAAAATAATAATCCTCTTTAGATTGTTGCAATTATTGGGCAGTGAGAACTAGATTCTCCCATCAATCAACAAGGTTGATCATGAAATTTTCCGCTTTCCCTTCTTTCGGCTAGAGTTTTGAGAAATCTCAATATAACAACGTCGATGAGTGATGTTGAAATCCTAAAAGCCAAAAGATGAACACAAACTTGAAAAAAATAGACATGATTCGATTTTGAGTAATCTCATTAACAACTGATGAGATGTTGAAATCCTAAAACCAAAAGATAACACAAACTGAAAAAAATAGACATGATCATAACACAGAAAATTTATCGGCATTTATGTTTCATGCAATTTTCTCTCTCATGACATCTACCGATCTGTATTCTCTAATTTCAATTTCACAACAATGAAAAACTTCTTAGCTAACAACTTATCACTACGGGTCTGTAAAAGAACAAAAAAAACTCAGTTTTATGGAATAAAATGAGAAGAATATTGAACAATTAACTGGTTTAGGGGTTAACAGGTTCACACTCATAATTCCACCCAACGGATTTTGATTAAAAGATTAACATTTAATTGTAGCAAATAACTTCAGTACCAATATAGAAAATTATCATTCTTTACGGTAGTTTTACCCTAAGGAAAAATTATAAACGCGTCTCCATATTATACCAAAATTAATTATTCTATCCCTATATTTATTAAAATATATTACTTTGTCTTTATATTTTGATTCTGTCTAATTATTCTGTCATTTCGTCAATATTTTTTATTTTTATTGTTAAATTTAAACAAAAAGATTGAAATTCCTTGTCTTCTTTCCCCTTGTTTGTTCTCTCCCTCTCTTTCCTTCCCCCTTTGTTGTCGAACGACCTTGAGATTCCGGAGATAACTACAGCTGTTAATGGAGTTTTGTTTGGTTTCCGATGAGGTATGACTCTATGGCTTTATAATTTGTGGTGGGGACGATAGAATAATAGTGTTGTTATTTTGTAGATCTTGGCTTTTTAGATCATTGTTTTTTTGATTTCTTTTTATATTACTGTAATTCACTTTTATCTGAATTATGAAGTAATAGAATTTCATCTTCTTGGAAGATTTCAACTAGAACTTTTTTCTGGATTTTGGTTTTATCTATTCATTGTTGTTTGGATGTTTGAAAACTGATTGAGATTGTATAGAGAGTTGCCACCCATTATAGTTAGAAGTTTGTATGACTCTTAAAACAATGGCTGCAATTTGTTGTGCACTTATGGTGTTCATACACTAGTATATTTTTATTAAAATTTTCAAAATCCTCCTTTCTGTTTCGTTTTGACCAGATGGACAACAATCAACATGTTGGTAGAAAATCCAAATTTAATAGGAAAATAAGGGTATTCCTTCATAAGCTTTTTAATGGTAAAAATCGAAAATATTGACGGAAAGATAGAATAGTTGGACAAATCAAAATATAAAGACAAAATAATATATTTTAAAAAATACGAAGATAGAGTAGTTAATTTTGGCATAATATAGGGACACGTGTATATATATATATATAATTGTTTTAAATGGCCGAAATCGAATTTGACAAAATTTTCACAGGTCAAATATATTGTTTAAATATATATGTATTCGCGCGCGTATATATATATATTCTCTATTCCCAATTGATAACTGAGGTCAAATATATTGTTTAAATATATATGTATTCGCGCGCGTATATATATATATTCTCTATTCCCAATTGATAACTGAGGTCAAATATATTGTTTAAATATATATGTATTCGCGCGCGTATATATATATATTCTCTATTCCCAATTGATAACTGAGGTCAAATATATTGTTTAAATATATATGTGTGCATGTATATTTATGTATTCTCTATTCCCATTTAATAGATACTTTCTATTTTACAAGAATTAAGAAAATTTTAGTTATTTTTGTCAGAAATGTAAATTTGCATGTATCTTTTCTATTATATCCTTACTTTAATGTGAAATATACTTATTAATCTATTATTGACCTTTTGTATCAATCAAGATTAATTAATTATCTAAGATTGGTTAATATACATCGGAAATGACTAAATTTAGTAAATACTCACATTTTTAATTTTCAAAGTGATTGTCAAAAAATAATGGCAGTGAAAAATAAAGAGGAATCGATAAAAATAAGAAAATTATCTTTAATAAGTAACATTACATATGGGTATAATAGAGATACTGCATATTAGCTACTCTATTTATCTCAAAATATAAGTCGTTAAAATTTTTGCATGGAGATTAATAAAGTAATTAATTCTCCTAAATTATAATAAAATCAAGGGTAATTTGACCAAATTATCCTTTATTTTAAAGGCAAG